TATGTCTGACATTTTTTTTGTATAATAATCAGATCAATATGTATGATGTGCCACTATATTTAAACTTTAAAACCCATCTAAATGTTGGACTACTTCTTCCATGAATTCTTCAAAGCCGGTGTGTCTCGTTTCGAATATGCCAGAGATTTTTTCTGTATAAAAAAAGTTTTACTATCTTCTGGATGATCGCTGTTCTTCTGATATGATTAACTCATGATTGCTATCGTGATCTACAAAAACCACTGTTTATTGTTTAGATTCATTGCTGAAGCTTTCGACACGAATCCGAAGCTCACAGAATTTGCACAATTCTCTGCAACCTCTACCCGTACAAATCAGTGAAGCCGTAATGGAAATGCAGGAACGAGGAGTAACTGTTTCGAACAAGGTCAGGCCCTTCATTTCTTATTCAATTCTATCCTAATGATTGTTCTGAGATGCATAACCCATATCGGAAATCACAGATGTCCTTGTTTGTGCTGCTTGTTTTGCGCGATTTCTAGTAGCATTTATGATTGATGCTCATGCTCGGAGCATTGTTCTCGACTGTAATGCCCAAGACAGACAACATGCGCAATGTGTGCCGCTGTTTGTGAGTTATGTGTAAGTCGTAAAAGTCCGGCCCGGGTCAAGGACCACAACAAACAAATTTGCATATCAATCAAGAAATTGGTTCATGCTCAGCGATTGATACCCATTAGGAGCCCTTTAACGGGTTTGAGTTGTCTTATAATAGCGAGAATCTTGCATTTAGGATAGAGAGACTATGGAGTTGTTGATTGTATGAGTCCTGAAATTCATACGATTTGAGGAGTGGGAGAGGGGACGGAGGAGGTAAGAGGGAGAGAATGAAGAACAGTAGGGTGCGAACATTTTTTGCTTAATGCTTTCAAACCCTTGCATTGCTCCTGTACCCATCGATCTCCCAGTATTCGATCGATCATTCAACCAATTAATCGATCACTTATAATTAGTGGCAGACTGATGTGTAGTCGAAATGATTACTATCCGCCAGTGACCCTTGCAAACAGAAGAAGGAGACTAGCAATTAGCCAAACATCGCAACAATAAAGCCCAGGTCGACATGTTACACTGAACAAAAGACTAAGCCGCTAGGAGATTTATTATCCCAACAAACTAGCCATTGTGACTATTGAGAGTTTTGCTACCATCCAACCAACTTTACCCATTTTTTAGGTGATTGCTCGTTGTTACCCAATAGAGGAATTGATTCGTTCGGCTCGTCATCAACGATCCACTCGTCAACGGCGTTACGTTATGCCTCGTACCACAACTGATGGAACTGAGAACTATGGAAAAGTGCTAAATTCGTTGATGTCAACATTTGCTGAACGGGTAAGTCACAGCTCACTGATAAAAAGACAGTTTGGCTTGTTTCTTAGGATGATAAGGCTATTATGACGCATAGAGATGAGAATTGCTCCTCCTT